GCGGGTGAAATGTGGGGTGCTCGCGGGGCTGACAGCACCATGAGAGCACCGAGAGTTCATGGACTCTTGGAGGTTTGGGGAGCTCAGCCCAGGCTGACCCCTCTGCTGTGGTCTGTGGCTGCCCCAGGTGCCAGCCCGTGGCCACGCTCACCCAAGGGGTTGGTGCTGAGCCCAGGGGTCGCTTGTGGCTGTGAGAAGGGCCAGGGGTTGTCACATAAGGGGTGAAAGCAGTACCTAGGTCAGGATCCTTCCTCTACTCCTTTCAGGCTTTTTGCCAACTCTTTGCAGTGCCTGCACTCTCCTCCACATTTCTCACCCTTGTGTGTGCCACCGCCATGCACCTGGGATGGGGACACACAGAGCCTGGCAGTCCCATCAGTGGGTTTGTCCCCAAAATGCAGCCAGAGTCACCCAGGGCAGCATCCCAAGGACTTGCAGAAATGCAGCCAAGCAAGACAATGGTGGGGAAACGAAGGGAATGGTAGGGAAACGATGCTGTGCCCAGCCAGACCCACTCCTACCCCTCCTGAGAGCAGGGCCAGCCTCGGGTGAGACTGGCTCTGCACCGCAGCCTGGGGTCCGGGAGAGCTGGGGGCAACCCGCAGGAAATCTCAGCAGCACCAGGGCTTGAATGCTCGTGCAGGACTTACTGCGTGGGTGCGGGTGGATTTGGGTTCCTTTTGCAGCCCTGTGCTTGCTGATCCAGCCCGGTGCAGTCCCACGGTGGGGTCGGGTGGCCCTGCTGTCAACCCCTGGCACAGAGGGTGTCCCCTGCTCCTGGCCCCGCAGGGACCTGCTGTGGCACCAGGCAACGCTCGCAAGCTGGAGCTCGGTGTCTGCAGTGGGGAAAAAATGTTGTCAGAGGTTAAAGTGGTCCCGTAGCCCACCCGGTGCCCTGGGTGCCCTCCCCGTCCTGCTGCTGCCAGGGCCACTGATGAGTGGATGTCAGCATGGTCCCAGGGCTTCTGCCCCAGCACCTCTGGGTGCTTCGTGTGGGACACGCAGCATCACCGGGGGCTTGCAGGATGCTCGGTGCCCTCCCCTGGGGCTGCACAGCAGCAAAAGGAGCTGGGGACCTGCCCCTGGCACGTGCTGCAAACTGAAGTGCATTTATCCCCAGCGGCACCACGGTGCTCAGCGGGAGGGATCCAGGCCAATGCACGAGCCTGCGGCTGGGTTCCCCAAACTGTCCCCTGCAAGGCAGCAAATTCAGGCTGGTCTGTGCCCAAGTGGCACTTTCAGTCCCACCAGCCCTGGCACGGTGCAAGGAGAGGTGTTGGGATGCAGAGCTGTGCCCAGCCCCCATGCCCCTGGGATGCTTGGTGCCATCCCCCAGTTCCCCCAGATCCCAGCTGGGAGCAAGCTGGGGCCATCAGTAGCGGGGGAGCTCGCTTTAGACCCAGGAAGCTCTGAGGCAGAACCCACAGCATCCCCTGTGATTTGCTAATGCTTCTAAATCACGTGTGGCAGACCTAGAAAGTAATTTGCCCTGCTCGTGCTCAAAGCCAGCACCAAAAGCGAACACCACTCGTCTCCTCTTGCTTTGGCCACCACTCAGAGGCTCCCTCAGCGCTGAGGAATGCCCACCTCCCCACCTCTGTGGGCAGTTTGGGTTTGGGAACCAGCCACGGAGGGTCCCAAAGCCATGACGAGCCCAGCATCGCACCGTACCCAACCCTGGCCGTATTGGTGCCATATCGGACCCCCCCATGGTGCTGCCTCCATCCTGGCCACCCCCCTCTGCCTGCGGCGCAGGTCGTTACTCAGCCGCCCGGCCAGGAAGTGAATCCCTGCCGGGATGGGCAGGAAATTGTTCAGCAAGTGGCGCACACACGCGCTGGCCCGGCAGGTCCCGGACCCCGGCGTCACCCCTCCGACTGGCACTGCCGGTGGTCACCGCGCCGGGCACGGCAAGGAGCAGCGGGCAGAGATGCTGCTGCCCAAGGGAGGCTCCTCCACCTCCACGCGGTCACCTCCGGCCATGGGACCTACCTGGTGTCCCGTGGGCGATGGTCTTTTTGGTGCCCACCATCAGCACTGCTCAGCTTCAGTCATCCCTGGAACCCTCAGCTGCCTTTTTCCTCTCCCAGATTGTGGCCTGGGGGCCCAGCACCTAGGGACAAGGAGAGAAAAGAGGCACCGAATGACAGCGTGTGCTGGCACATCGCCCTCGTGGGGGCCGTGCTGCAGCTGGGGCATTGGCCTCACTCCTGGGAGCGATGCTCTTTCGGTCGAGGAGCTGGGGCCAACCCTACAGGCAGCTCGGGGTTGGGGTGTCCGTGCTGGCTCCGCTCCTGGGCAGCATTTCCTGCACCATCGTGGATGGGGGAAGGTTGCCAAGCTAAACCCGGGGCACTGGTGTTGATGGGAAGCCTGATTTAATGCAGGGAGCAGCACGGGAAGGTTTGGGGCATTAAGGGACACAGGTCCATGGGTTCCCTGCTGGGTCCGGCCCCCCAGGCGGGCGCGATACTGGTGTTTGCTTGCTGGAAGCACAGGGCCAGGGAAACCTGCTGCCTGGCTGGGTTTCTGTTTGGTAGGGTATTTAAGGGTGTTCTCCAGGGTGTGCCAGCCCTGGCCTCCACCCTGCTTTCACAAGCACCCACTCCAAAAGGAGCTTGTTGATCTCGGCTGCAGAGGAGATGCAATTAGCACTGGCGAGATTCACCCGGCACGGCCGGGCTGTGCCAGGGGACAGGGACAGGGGACAGGGGACAGCCACATCCCCTCCCCGTGTCCCAGGGATGAGCAGAGCCCGGCTCCACCACAAGAGCTGCGGGATGCAGGGGACGTGTCCCAGGCTGGGGGCGCTGAGCATCCTGCCCCGCAGGGGCTGCGCCCACGTGTGTCGTGGGAGATGGTCCGAAAAGAAGCTGAGGAGCCACAGCCAAGCAACGTGCCCGAGCTCACAGAGCGTTGGTGCCACGGCTCGATTTCAGCCCGTGGTGATGGAGGTGACCACGTTATTCCCAGGGCCAGCAATCTTCGTAACATTTCTGGGCTTGCTTGAAGCCTCGTGGGGTCCTGTCCCACAGCACTCAGGTACCGCCGCATCCCTTTCAGCCCAATTTTTTCACCAGCTCTCCGGAGGAAGGACGAGTTGGGAGAGGGGATCTTTGTCCCCCTATCGACACCAGAGTGACTTCAGCAGCTGCTCGGGTGGTCCTGAACGGAAAGGGAGAGTCAGTGAGCGTGAAACCCCAAACACCCCCGGGGTGCCCACCTCCATCTCACCTGCACACCAGCCTGGGGTTATGGCGCTGCGCCCAGTGGGTCCCGGTGGCCGTCCTGGTTCTGCTCCATGTCCCCACTGCCCCACAGCCGGGGCTGGCAGCGGGCCCCATCCTGCTCTCCCGGACAGGGTCCCGGCAGAGGGAGCTGTGACATTTGTGAGCTGGGCGCTGCTGTGCATGCAGCCTGGGCTTCAGAGGGGGATGGAGAAAAGCCTCAGCCTGCGCAGGCTTGCTGAGGGCACAGCACGTGTGAGTGCTCACCCTTCTGCCTGCAAGTCATGCCAAGAATTATGTAGGGCTGCTTACTTAAATCCTAAAAGCTTTTTTAGCTATTAAAAAAATACTTTAAAAATGCAAAGGGCTGCTCTTGCCCGAGGTGCCTTTGCAAAGCTGCCTGATTACAGCTCCAGCCTGTGCTGCCCCCCCCCCATTACACAAGGAAAGAGAAAGCACAGCCAAAAAGGGACGAGCGCGGCCAGATCCCAGAGCTGGGGTGAGCACGTGGTGCCTGCTAGCAGTGCTCAGGTTATTCCTTCTCTGTGCATCCTTGAGACAAGGCTGGATAAACCCAGCTGCACCTGAGCCCGTTCCTCCAGCTCCCTGTGCGCTGAGCAAGCAGCCCTCTGCTTAGGGGCAGGATTTAAGCCCACACACACTGCCGTGCCCTGCTGGAGCAGGCAGCGTTTCTTGCAAGGGCTGGGCCTGGCTTTTCTCCCTGGAAGGACCAGCAGGAGCCCAAGTCCTGCTCTGCAGCAGTGGGTGCAGCCTCAGGAAGCTGCTGCTGTAACAAGGGGCAGGATGTGACCAACAGCAGTGAGCTGCCCCAGCCTGGATCCCAAAGATCCAGGAGACCTCCAAGTGCTTGGAGGGCAAGCAGAGGGCTGGAAGGGGTCATCAGGGCCATAGTTTCATTCCTGCTGTGGTCCAGGTCGGAGCTGCCTGCAGTGGAGCAGTGCTGTACCTCTGCAAATAACCTGTGAGCTACCTGGTGGTGCTCCCTGTGCTGTGGCTTTGCAATCTCACCTGAAGCTGTTCCAGCACTAATGATCAGGGCAGCATTTCTCTGATCCAGAGGTTTGCATTGCAGCCTGGACCAGCACAATGCCAGCGCCCTGCACAGGGTCTGGTGTGCACGGGGCTGCTGATGCTCCCCTTGGGCTGCGTCACTGCCCAGGTGTGGGCTGGGGGTGCTGCAGGTCCCCAGCCTGCTGCTGCACCCCAGAAATGCTCCTTTCACCAGGAGCCATCTCTGGGGCTTGTACATAAAATGCTGCAGTAGGGGCTGGGAGCTCAGAAATTGAACATAATGGTCAATGAGACACCCAGTGCTGTGGGTCAGAGCTGGGCTACGCACTGAGCACGGACACATCGGGGCACTTGGACCAGGCTGCACCCACCTGTGGGATCCAGCGGTGCTGCACCCAGGTGCAAATCCAGGCCCTCCTCACACCCTGCTTGTGCCACCGAGAGCCCCAAAGATGGACAGACACACTGGCTCCGTGGGACAGCAAGCGCTTTGAAGGGAAACTACCAAGACATTCGGAACAGCATCTTCATTTCAGATTGCTGCTCTCTAGGCAGCATGGGCCAGACTCACAGGCGTGCTGAGCACCCCCTGGCAGAAGTCAGGGCTGGCAAATATCAAGCTGAACAGCCTCAAACCAAGGTAAGCAAAAACTCCCTTCCGAAAACAGAGCATCAAACAACACACCAAAGCAAACGACGACCAGGAGAGCCGCCACCCAGCACCCCAAATCAACCACTTGCTCAAGGAAGAAGATGTGTAATTATTTATTTTGGGTCCCCTTGGAAGTACCATCGCATGGCTCCTTCAGTTCATGGCTTCGCGTGGTCTCTCGGCCCATGCAGTGCTCCAGCCACGTGCGGCACGCTTGTTCCTGCAGGGAGCTGGTGACCACCATCCCTTCAGGTGGGCAGGTGGAAGCTGCCTGGTCCCATCTCAGCAGCCGTCCTCCGCGCCACGAACCGCCCCAGAGCATCCCGCAGGTGGGGAGCAGAATGAGGGAGCAGGAGGGATGGATGGGGATGGCTGTGGCTTTCAGCTGCCCCGGGAAGAGAGTCTCTGGCTTGTGTTTTCTGGCAACTTAGAACTGGGTTTGTTTCGTTTTAAAAAAAAAAAAAGTAATAAAATGCTGCTGTTGCTATCTGCAAAAGGAAAGAGAAAAAGTCTGTCAGTGCCCTGGGAATCCAAAACTGAGCTGTGCTGGAAGGCAGCAGAACCAGCAAGAAACACACAGGTATTTGAAGACTGGGAAGCCCAAACGACACAGTGGTTTGAGGTGTCAGCGGATGTGACAGCGGGGAGACCCCAGTGATGCCTTCTGCTCACCTCAACGGCAGGCCTGTGGTCCTCAGACCAAGCCAACCAAACCCTGGGAGCACCGCAGAAGAGCAACAACTCCAACCCAGATAACGCAGTCCCAAAGGCTTGAGCAAGATCTGAAGCACCCTGGGGAGGATTGTCAATGCCACTGGGCACTGCCCTCAGCCTGCTCCCACTGGGCAACCACGGCTGATTTCCTCATGCCTTCGGAAGGTGAAGAGTCAAGGCAAGCATGAGCGTGGTTGAAAATCCCAGCTACAGGGACTCAGAAGAATCAGACCACAGAGCAGTCTGCATTCATATAGGTTATGAAACCAAACAAGGACTTCACGTCCTGCCAAGCCACACGAGGGCTGTTGAGTAACGAACGCTATTGCCACCTCTCCGAACTCTCATCGTTTCCACACAAGCAGGAATTTGCCCACCCACAGAAGCACTGAGATTACCTGGGCTCCTGCTTTTCCAAGTGGGTTGAAAACAAGGCCTTACACTATCCAAATCTCTACCTGCTGAAAGGTTTTATCACTCAATGGTCCCATCTCCTACTTACAGTTCAGTGTCTACAATGACATCTGGCCTCTCCAGAGTCTGCCGTCTCCTCTGGATGGCATCCACAATCTTTTTCCTGGGGCCCAGTGGAATATTGATGCTCTTCAGATCATTGTCTGAACACAGCATGAGGGCCTCCAAGTCAATCTTTTCCTTCTTCAAGATGGAGATAAACTCAAACATGTGCAGGGAAGCCAGAAAAGTCTCCAAGGGGCTGGTGTCGGGTTCGTCGTCGTCATCTAAGCCCAGCTCCACCTCGTCCCAGGGTAGGTCCTCCGCGTTCCTCTCCTGCAGGCTGTTGGCACTGCCAATGCTGTCGTTGAGACTTGGCGAGCGCTGCAGGCGGCTCCGCAGTTTGACACCCAGCCCATCCGTGTCACCTTCACCTGGCATGCCGGCGTCCTCCCGGCCGATGCCGAAGAGCCCGCTGCTGACGTAGTTGCGCCTGAACACCATGGTGCCCAGCCCGGGGCGGTTGAACAAGGAGTCGTGGCCGGAGTCGGTGCTGACTTCGGAGTGGGCCGAGTCCATGTGCAAACCCGGGTCGCTTATGGCACGGGAGACGGTGTCTTCATCCGTGAGGAACATGTCTCTGATATTACGGCGGGTCCACTCCTTGGGGCTGGCGTACGTGCCCTGCTTCACGAACATCACATCGTTCCCCAGCTGCAGGCCGGACAGAGAGCGCACGCTTTTCCTCCCATCCTCGTAGATCTTGAAGGTCCCATCCACCTGCTTCTTCTTCTCTAGCTTCTTCTGTATTTTCGTCTTTCCCTTGGCTGTGCCGTGGATGGTGGCTTGTGAGTATGGCAGGGACGTCACCATAGACATGTGTTGGAACTTCTTGCTTAAGGTGCTACTTGAGTAGCTGGAGAAGCTCATGGTGTCTGAGTTATCCGACATCTCCTTCCTGTACCGTTTCTCCATCCTCTCGTGGTGTTTCTTCTGCAGCTTCACGCAGTCCTTGATCCTCCGCTCGGCGTCGCGGAAGGCCTTGTCCTTCAGCTTGCTCACCAGCTTGGGGTTGAGGCTGCTCTGCTTGGCAGCGATAGAGTCCAGGTAGCGCACGCACTCCATGTGCCCCTTCATGGCTGCCATGTCCAGCGGGGTGTGGTAGTCGTTGTCCAGGCACCAGATGTTGGCCCCAAAAGAGATGAGGAAGGAAAGGCAGTTCAGGTGGCCGTTGGCTGCCGCCAGGTGAAGGGGGGTGTTCCCCCAGATGTCACATTTGTCTGGATCCCCCCTAGACAAGGAAAAGAACCGGTTAGCATGCAGCCTTGGCTGACGGACCGCTGAGATGTGTCCCAGAAAAACATGGTATTGCAGTTGTGCGGGGCAAATCAGTACAATGAACTTTTTTCTCCTCTTCTACAACCTAATTTTAAGTTTTGAAGTGGCATGTACAATGGCACGGATTCACGTGCCCAACAGACAAGTCTGTAGTATTTCCCACAACATGAATTCAGCTCTCAGGAGACACGTGTTCCTGCACCAAACCAGTTTCTGGAGGAAGACAGGCCGGATTCTGATTAGCCCAGAGCTGAGATATGAGGCTGATTCCAGCTCAGGCCTTAACATTTCAAACCTCAAACATCCCATTAAATACTACTCAGATCCCATCTCCGAATCTTGGCTTCGCTCAGGCTCCACCAAAACACCGCTCCGTCCACCACGCCCTGGGTGGGACACCATGGCATCCCACCAGGATGGAAGCACCACCACAAAATGCCATCCACCTGCTGCTGCACCTCCCCACCTTCCTCTTCGCTCCTGCCTGGGGGACCTCAGGGCCCCGAGGTCACGACTTCGGAGGGGAACAAGAGCAAGGTTGCTGGCATGGGCCTGGAGGTTGGGGTTCTGTGGGGGTTTTTGCTGCACCACGCTCGGTTTCGATTGCATGGCTCGAAGCGCAGTGGTATTAGCACATCCTGAGAATCCAGTTTCAGAGAAAGTGGAGATTAGGTTTCTGCACTCCTCAAGAGCTGGACACTCGACTAATGCAATTAGCATCTCTCCTCGCATCGTGCCGGCCCCTACCCCAGCGTTGCTGATGGGGCTCAGCCTCCTGCCCACATCTCCTGCCTCTGTTACAGGACAGACACGAACCTAGGAGCAAAGGGAGCTCCATCCTCCTGGCATTCCTCTGTATTTATGACCTGCTGAAACAAGAGATAGTTCACACCCCTGCTGGCACCAGCTTTCGCTCGAGCGAGTGCGTTAATGCTATGCAGCCGGCAGCAGTATCAGTCAACACGGCGCTCTCCTTCGTGCACATGGCCGAGGCAAAGCCTTTATTAAGGCTCCGCAGCTCCACCACCCTCCGGAGCAGCTCCCCTCGGGGGATCAGGGCTCTGCAGAGCCATGACTCAGCTCCTGAAATTTCCTCACCACCCTTCCCAACGAGCTCCAGAGGAGCTGAGCGCTGCTCTCCCACCGCGAGGTGCCCAGCACCAGGCCCAGGCCTGCAGGGAAGCATCTGGAAGAGGGTTCGGCCAGCTCAGACATTGGGTTGCTTTCTGCAGGCCCTCAAGGGAAAGAGTAAATCCCTCGGTGGAACCAGAAGTCCAGAAGGTGAATCCACCCTTGAGACCCTCAGCCTGTGTTACTTCACGCCCAGCTGCCTCCTGTATTGATGAGATCTGCTGGGATGTGCAGAGCCCGGAATCCTCCCAAACCCCACGTGTGCTGCAGCCCCGCTCACGTGAGGGAGGACAAGAGGTACTTTGGAGAAAGACAGCAGCCATCACAAGAGCTGAGCTGTTTCGCATCTCCAGCTCCAGCACAAGGCCAGATGCCCGTGGTGGAAACATCTGCAGCTGCTCTCCAACACACCTACTTTCACAAAACTTGTAGAAAATTAGTAAGTCTACAACTTGAGCATCAACAATTGGTGAAAAGATCCAAAGCCATGGAAGGGAACCAAGCCAGAAAGCTCGCCAAGCCCTGCGAGCACAGCCCCCAGAACCTACAACTTCTCCTACAGAAGCAGAGAAAGGCTTCAAAGATGAGGCCTGGAAGAACACCAGGAAGGAGAAGGGACAGTAGGTTACAGGGAGTGAGGAGCCGTGCAGCCAGCAGGGGAGGAGAGCAGCCGGTCCTGCAGCACCGCCACGCTCCCAGGGCAGCAACTCCTTAGCCTGCCCATCTACCCTCGTAGTGACATGTCCAGGCTGGGAAATTCACGGGGGGGATAAATATTTGATGATTTGCAAGAGAGGAGTAAATTATTGATGGGGCTGGATTAAAGAGCCAGCGAAACTGGAACTGCTGGAGCTGGCGGTGGGACTCCGGCACGTGAAGGGTCCTTGGCTCGTTTCCGTGTGCTCTGGGTGGGCACACGGAGCTGTGCCAGCTCCCACGGGCACAGCCAGGGGGGACAGGGCACCAGGAGGCTCCCCACAGGTACAGGGACCGGTGATTTGGACAGGGACTTAAGCAATCTTGCTCCCCATAGCAAGCATACAGACACTTAACACACGTCTCAGGGCCTGGTTTGGCTGGCAAAGAGCAAAGCCAGAGAGGTCCCGGGGGATGCATATTTGAAGGTTTGCTTTGCTTTTCATTGCTTCAGAGAAAAAGTGAGAGGAAGGAGCATCAAAACGAGTTTTCCCTGGACATTTCCATTGCCTAGGAACAAAAGTATTAGAGCAAAATTAGATCTCTAGGTCCCTTTGTCCTATAAATGTCTGCCGGAGGCACTAAAAAACAGGAAAGAAGAATGGTGACTTGCAAAGTCGACCTGTGTGATCTGGCGCCGATAATAAGCACGAGGCCCTCCCTCTGGCGGGTGTCAGCCTGGGCAAAACTTCACCTCGAGGGCGCTGCGCACCAGCAGATGCTGACTGCAGGGTCCACTAAGTGGGAACGCATTTTAATAACAGGTGTGAAGCGCAGCGCTTCTCAGCTTCAAAGCGTTGTCAGGTGCTGAGTCAACTCCCATAATAATCATTATTAAAAAGGCTGTTAATTGAGCCCCTCGGGTGGACGTGTGCATCTCCTGAGTCACTGCCTTCTCACCGTGACGCGCACGCTCACTCCCTTCCTGCCGGCTTTTCCCCTCTGCTTCCCCCGTGGGATCCCAATTACCCTGGGAATCCACTGGCACTCACGTTCGTCCTTCCCCGGCCGCACGTGCGGAGTTCCTCCGATGGCGATGGGCTGGCTCAGCCCCCGGCAGGCACACTTGTGGAGGTGCACAAAGGATCAGGGCCTCTGATCCACAAGGAGCCAGCCAGCTCCTGCAAAACACGCAGCGGTGTTTTTCATGGGAAGAGGAGAAAATCATTTATGGCTTGAGGAAAACCCAGACAGCTTCAGCACGGAAATGGCTTCAGCAGTCAGGGCATTGGTGCAAGCAGAGACTGGCACAGAGCGGAAAAGATGAATTTGGGATCCCGTAGGTCCTGCATCCCAAGCTCTGCCCAGCTGGTGCTAAGCACAGGCTTCAGCTTTCCTCCAACAGGCTCAGATCCCTACAAATCTAGCACCAGCTTCTTTAGGTTAGGCTGATGGTCGCAGGACATCCCCCAGGGGAAGCTCCCCAAAAGCACAACCGTGCTGCTCAGGGTGGTTGCCAGCCCCATGGCAGGGATGTGCAGCCCTGGTTTCCAGCCTGTCTGGTTTAAAGCCACATCCTCAGCTCCCTGTGGGCCACTCCAAGGCTGGGAGCCCTGCTGCTCCCAGCAGGGGCCCTTGGGCCCCTGGAGACCTGGTGATGGGCAGACGCCCGTCAGCAGCACAGCGGTGCTAATGAACCGCGCTGAGGAATTACTGCCTCTGAAAATCCGCAACACTAAATGCCAGCGAGCCTCTCTTTTCCCAGCCGTCACGCTAATTGGGTTTGTTTCCCTCGCTGGAGCTCAGCCAGGAGGAAGAAAAAGGCTTTTTGTGCTGCTAACAAGAAGGATGAGGCAGTGCTAATGCTTCCATCCCATCCCTTCTCTCCATCCCCTTGCAAAAGTGGCAGCAAGGCACAGACACGACCCCGGCTGTTACAGCACCATCTCTCCTGCTCCAGCCTGGATGGAGCAACAAGCCCGCTTCATCACCCCTTCTCTGCAGGCCGAGATGACAAATCTTCCCCAAGGACCCACCAGCAGATTTGCTGGACTTTATTTCCCTGTCCCCACCTCAGCCCCATGCCACTACCTGCTGAACGCACAGGCACACGAGCACAGCTCCTTCGCTGGAGATGGAGCCGAGCTGACCCTAAATGCCAGGGGGGCAGGAGCAGTGATTTTTGCCCCCACAGCCTCAATGGGGCATTTGGGAACAGCCTGGCCACAGAGCTCAATCCACCAGCTGCTCTGGGTGCCAACAGCACTGCACAGTGCTGGCGCGGAGGACTGGGCATTTCCAGGTGCCCCCGAGGCCCCCCATCTCCCCTCAATCCCAGAGCCTGCATGGTTTCCCCCCCAGTACCCCTGCCTGGGAGCTTTTCCATTTCTCATGCATCCAGCATTGGCTGCGAGGACGAGGAGGTTTCACCAGTTTCTGCATGGTGCTGGGCAAGGAGATGAGCGCACGGCTGTAAACGTGCCCTGCAGCCCCACAGACAAGTGCTTCGCTGCCCCATCCATCACCTAAAGGGCACCGAGCCTCTGCCGTGCTATTTTCCCTGTCAGGAGCAAATGTATGTTAGGCTGTTAATTAAACAGCGGCCAAGCTGCACGCAGACACATCCACGAGGACCTTTTGATCCAATGTGAATTTATGAAAGGGGCCCCTCTGCGGTGAAGCAGCCCTTGGGATCGTGGAGAGGCAGGATCTGCTGGCATGGATGTGTGGGGCAGCACAGGGCGGGCTGTGGGCAAACACCCCTCCAAAAAGGCTCTTGGCCATCAGAGCATCTTTGGAACCATTTCCACTGTCAGGGTCCCATCCCCGGAGCTCCTGCCCTCATCCCTCTGGATGGCAACTTCCCAGAACTCGGAGGAGATTTCTGCTTCTGTCTCTCACATTTCCTGACAGTGCTGGGCACAATCGCTGCCAAGCTGCACCCAACAAGTCCCACAGCCCCCTCTTTGTCCCCCGGTGGCTGTGACACCACGTGCCACAAGTCAGGCGATGGGCGCACCCAGGAGAGCAGCTGCATGGCCCTGGGGCATCACCTCCCACGGTGCCTGCCCTGAGAACATCCTTTCCTGAGCATTCCCCTAACGCACCAGGCACTCAAGGACTTCCCAAACCAACTGTACGCAGCCCAGATCTGAAGAGAAAACCCTTTACCATGGAAGGGCAGCAACGTGTGACAGAGCTCTGCCTGGAAACGCAGCGGGCCAGGCTGAAGGTTTTACACCAGCCGACCGGAGCATCAGGAGGTGCTGAGCCCAGGAACAGGCAGAGCAGAGACACAGCCGACCTCGTACAAAGGCGAGCTGCAAACACAGCCCAGGCAGGGAAATCTCAGCGTGGGAGCTGACGGCCCCGCTGAGCCCTGACCCAGGAGGAGCACCGAGCCCATGCCAGGAGGCGCAGTGTACGTCCCAAACCCAGCACTATTCCTCCATATCAGAAGAAAAAAAAAAAAAACAACAACAAAGGGCTGGAAGAAATCTGCTCTTGGGGGATCTGCTCCTAAATTTCCCAGGCTCCACGTCCAGAACAGGCTGCTGGTGGGGCACACACTCAGACCCAGCTTTGGGTAGAGCAGAGGAGCATCACCTGCTGCCAGCTGGCACGGCACACGTCCCTCTGTGCGAGCGTTTTGTGGGACAGAAGGAGCTCTTATTGTCGCTGTCCCCTCATTTAGAAGGGCTAAGGGCTGCCTTTGTGGCAGTGACCTGATGTGCTGGCATTTCAGCTCTGCCTGCCCTTACGGGACCTGACCCAGGACTGCAAGGCACTTGCAGGGGGGACCCAGCCCTACCTGGGGAGCTGCAGGAGGGGTTTGGGGCAGGAGTAGGGCCACGGGCAGTTATAGGGACAGAGAACCAGGAAAAACACAGGGTGGTCACCAGGAGCACAGGATCAGACTTAAAGCACCACAAGGAGCAAAATATAATGAGCTGGGGACAGGAGGGGAGGCGTTATGGTCAGAAACCACCGATTCATGGAGCATTTGCACCCATGCTGAGCTGTGAGCAAGGAGAAGGGGGAAAGATGGGGTCTGAGCGACCCCATCCCCGGGGAGCAGCACCGAGCCCCCGCCAGCACTCACCCTCTGCTGACGATGAGGCGCAGGGCGTCCAGGTTGCCGTGGTAGGCAGCCCAGAGGGTCGGGGTCATGCCATCCTCGTCTGGCGAGTTGAGGTCCTTCTTGGTGGCTTCCTTCAGGAGGTCCAGGTAGCCGTCCCGGGCTGCTCGGTGGTACTGGTCGTTCATGGTGCCGAGCGGTCCCTGGGCGAGCGCATGGGTGCGCGGGGGGCTCACGGGGTGGGCATGGGGACGGGGAGCTGCCAGGAGGGCCCGGCTGGCCCCGCACAGCTCCGGCGTGCCAGGACACCTGAGAAGTCGTGGCGGGGAGGCAGCGGCTCCTTCCAGCCACGCTCTGCGGTGCTTCCCCTGGGTCCTAAACGTCCTCCGGTGCTGGCGGCTCCTCACGGGGAACCTGTCACGCGCCAGCTCCGCAGCACATTAAAAGCTCCAATTAAGCAGCATCGCCGTGCCAGGCTCAGCAGAGCACTGTGTGTTCGGGGTCACTCAGTAAGAGCTTGTAAGGATGAAATATCCCCCCTAAACGGAGCTGCACAGAAGTCTCATGGGCCCTATCCTGCTGATATCCGCTCCTGAGCCCCTCGCAGTCAGTGGGGCAGCGGGAGGGGGCTGATGGAGCAGGAGCCCCCTGCCTGTACCCACAGCCCCATCGGAGCTCCCCAGGGAGCTGCAGGGAGCTGTAGGAGCCCCAAACTGCTCCTGTCCACGCCTCAGTTCTGCCACGATGTGCTAGAGGGGCCGTGGCCACCCTCCAGCACCCTTTATACCAACACTAAATTTCTGCAGGGTGCTAAGTGTCCCAAGCAATGCCTCCACCCCAGGGCCAGCTCCCACAGGATTCCCAGGCCCGGGGCACCCTCTGCCGTCAGGAGACACCGAGCTGAGCCCGGGCACCTGCTGAGGCACGGGGCTGTCGCAGGACGTTGTGCCACGAGGAGAATTGCAACCCCTGGGCCATGCTGCCAGGGAGGAGGAATTCCCTGCAGGACCCCGGTGCTTTGCGGCCAAGTGCCCTGGCTCTGGGGATGGGGGGCTGTGGAGATGGGGGGCTCCAGGGATGATCCCACATCTGCCGCTGAGGTCCTAGGATGGCACACAGCCACTGAGGGCAGCGAGAAAGGGAGGACAGAGGAAAGGAGAAAGGCTGAAAGAGCAGGCTGAAAGGTAACAAACAGAGAGGCATGAGAAGGAGCAAAACCAAAGAGAAATGCAGCTTATCCTTCTAAGCAAGAAAATGCCCAAACAGAGCAGCACGGCCCCAAAGCAGCCTCCGGGTGCACCTGCAGGAGCTGCAGTGATTAACCCCGGGGTGAGCGGCTCTGAGTCACGGTGCCGGCTGCCTGGGGACACCTGTAAGCACCCTGCAGGGCTCCTCACACCGATGGCTCTGTACTCACCCGCTCGGCCTCCCCAGGCGAGTCCTGACGGATGCAGCCGACACAGAGGTATTTGCCGCTGGGATTCTTCAGGTGAAAAGCAGCGCAGTAACGTCTGCAATTCATTACCCAGGTTATTTAATGATTCTCGTCCTATTACTAATTAAGCTTGTTATTACTGCCGTGCTGTATGGTGGCTCCCACGGGGGATCGGGAGCATTGCCCAAGGCAGCAAACACTCTTTCCTCTGTTGCTGGCTGTTAAGGACAAATGAGGGCGAGTAAATCAGTGTGCGTAGCCCGGGGGGTCTGCGTGCCTCTGGCTTCTGCAGACTCTTTTTCAAGATCTCTGCCAAACGTAACCATTACCAGCTCCTGGGCGCTGCAGGGGGGGTCTGGGCTTTCCCTGGGAAAGGCAACAGACAGAACAGCTCAGCTGCTCACCCCAAAAAACCCCACCAGCCCGTGTGGATGAGGGTAGCCAGCAGTGTGGGTGGCAGCCAGCTGGTGGCAGCACAGGCAAGACGCACGGAGGTGGCCCCGGGCCGGGCATTGGGGACATCGCTCGTCCCCGCAGTGCCAGGAGGCTGGGATGGGGCTGGACCTGGTCGCAGGATCCCTGTCCGGCTGCAGGGAGTGAGGGGCATGGAGGGGCCCGTGCCTGAACTCGTAAACGATGAGGAAAAGCTCTGAGAGAGGCTGCCTCGTAAAGGAATAAAACTTGTCCCTAAAACTGCCGCGGGTCTCACCACCTCGCCTGCTGGGATATCTCTCCTCCAAGAGCTGGAGGAAAAAGTTTCTCCTTGCCTCCAATCCAGCAAACGCTTAAATCCCACCTGCTCCATGTTTTGTACCTGGGTTTGTTTCTCCTCGGAGCAGAGGTTAAGCTCCCAAGGGCCAGAGAGAGGTGATCCCACCCCAACAAGCAAAGGGCAGCGTGCCAGCAAAGGGGAACACGGATCCCGGTCTCCAAATCCTGCTCCGTCCTCGTGATAAACTTTCCTCCTTGTTGGCACTGTGCGAAAGGATTGAGCTGCCCTCGGCAGCGAATAGATAAAAATGCAAATTTCTTCTTTTTCCTCAAAAACTTTCCCGTGTGGGGCAGGCTCGGAGCCCTGATGGGGACTGTACGGGGTGAGGCACAGTATTTACTGTGTTCGGTTGACCAGAAAGCCAAGCCCAAAATCGTCAGCAAAAAAAAAGCTCATCACCTAAAGCATCTTCTTTCAAAGGAGGAAATCTCGTCCCTGCAGGGCGATCCACTTGGTGGGGTGGCTTCGCTCTGTCTCTGGCAACTGTGACCCTGTGCCCGAGCGGTCTGTGCTATTCTCAGCAGCATGCTCAGCTCATGCCCTCCCCAGGTAAATAACCCTTATCTCTCTCCCTCTTTCCCCAAATCAGCTATTGCCTAAAATGGATCACATGAGTTTCCCTGAGAAGCCCGTGAAGCGCTGCTGCCAGCTCCAGACATGGTGTAAATCACAGAGCCATCCCAACGGGTATAAATTCTCCGGCTGACCAAAGTGCGGCACCAGGGGAACTTCTCAGCCTGGCGAGAACAGAGATTTGGATTCCAGGCAGCAAAGCAGGTTGGTGGAATGGCTCAGTCTGAGCAGTTACTTTGCTTCGATTCGGGCTTCTTGTAGAGAACCAATGAAGTCCCAAGCCTGGCATAGAGAAGGGGCTTTAGAGGGAACGAGAGCAGACACAGCTCGTAGCACTCTTGCAGGAACAGCTATAAAACACGGTGTGAGGTTCCAAAGACACCCAGGGCTTCCTTACCTTTCAGCAGCCTGCCTCTGAGCCAGGAAGTATGACGTTCTCGCTAAACATGTAGTGGTTGACATGTAGAAACCAAACCACGTTGGATATTTGCCTCAGGGTGTTTGAGCTTGGGAGTGCTTCTCTGGTGCTTTTCCAATATCTTACATCAATAAACACCAATAAATATGTGGTGTGGCAAACTGGGCATGCTTTGTCAAATTGTCCTGGGATCTCCCCAGGCAAAAGCATCATGAGAAAGAATATAGTCTTCAGGGAACCGGGAAGAAAAGGCATGAAAATGAGCCCGTCCTTCTTTTTGCTCTTCCTGTCTCAGCCTTTCCCATTCCCCCAATACATTCTGTCCCCTCCTCACACCACGTCTCACTTTGGTCCAGCCCCGGACTATTCAAAATGAAGTGACCTTTCTTATTCACGGCCTCTCCTCCCAGCAGCACCAGCCCTCAGCTACGGCATTAGCTGAACCATGACTGAAGAGCCTGTGCGGAAGGACAGCGAGATCCAATGCTCCAACTCCAGCATGGGCTGCGGACACAAGGACGACAAAGCCAGCCTGGCTTCGAGCCAGATAGCACCTTATAGCCACCAGCCCTCGGCTCCAGCCTCCAAGGAAGTGTGGAAAAAGGGCGGCCGCATGTTCTCCATCCTGCTGGCCGTGCACTTAGCCCTGCTGGCCTGCACGCTGGTGAGCAGCGGGGCTTTTGAGAAAATTGCCGTGCACGATTACGACGTCTTCTTCCTGCTGACTGTCATGATGCTGATAGTCATCGTCTGGATCATCTTCTACCTCGTCAGCACCGCCCGCTGCCCAGATGCCATCCTCTGCAGAGACTCCCACGCTGGACCCATCTGGCTGAGAGGTAGGAGCTCTTGGGGGGCAAATGCTGGAGGCAAGAGGCAGGCTGAGCAGTTCACATAGGCGTTAATTATTACAAGAAGGAATGACCACCTGGGGCACAGGCTCCTTCTCCCGTGCTGGGGTGTAGCATCATGCCCTGCTTCAGGTCTGCTCCTAGTCCCTCCCCTGGCTTCACTGCCACGTCTCCCTTTACCTGCGAGGGCTCTCAGCTTTTCACAACACCAGGCTCCTTCCCAGCCTTGCCATTTTCCATTGCAAGACCTGTTAGTCTCAGTCAGACTGGAGTGTTTATCCAGATGACTTTCCGAAATCCTTTCTAGCCAAATTTACTCCATGATTTGGGTGGTGGGAGAGGAAAAACTGAGGTAGAAGCAAAGCCTCTCTACAGCAATAGTTCCTCCTCTTCCTTTCCCCCATCTGCATTATCCCACGTGCACCCATCTCCCCAACCACAAATACTCTGTCTCTTCAACAGGAGGCCTGATCCTGTTTGCCATTTTCAGCCTTGTCATGGATGTGTTCAAAATAGGATATTACTCCAGCTTCTACAGCTGCCTGTCTGCGATCAAAATCATCTACCCCATTGTGCAAGCAATATTCGTGGTTGTCCAGGTGAGGCGGCTGCGCTGTGCCCTGGGGAGCTGTAGAGGGACGGAGCCACCAGGGGAAGGAGCTCCAGTCCCACGGATGTAGGGCAGCTCCAGCAAACCACAGCAACTTCCAGCTGTGGCAACTTGCTTTGAGGCATTGATTCCAAGCAGCCCCAGCCTGTGACAGTTGGATTTATGCCAGGATGCCTTGCCACAGGCTCTAAGCAGCATCCAGCCAGGTCTTTCCCGTGAAGAGGAGAGAGGGAGGAGGACAGGCAGGGCAGCGACTGCCTCGTAGTTTGCAGTCCCTGCACAGAGGGCCACCTGCTCTGGGTCGATACCAATGAGGAAAGAAGTTGGATAGGGACAATTTAGGTAGGAATAGAGTTTGGGCACGGGCAGAGCAGGGGCAGTGGGACTGGGCAGGAGGAGCAAAAAACAGACCGCAGACTGCAAACAAAATGGCCAGGCTTATGGGCTCACAGCCTGTGCCCGGCTGGACCAAAGCTAAAGAGAGATCCCTGCTTCAGAACGATGGTATTCTTGCAACAAAGCTCTCTTTTTCTTCTTGTGTCCTTGCCAGACATACTTCCTATGGATGTCTGCCAAAGACTGCGTCCACGTCCACCTGAACGTTACCAGGTGAGCAATGCTGCTTTTCTTTATCCCTCTGGTCCAGAAACACGGGGCCACTGCAAATCTGCTGCACTCTCTCACTCAGCTGAGATGCCACAAGGGGACAAACCCAACTCCCTTAATGCTAACCAAAATTAAAACCGCGGAGTTTCCAGCTAGCCTAAGATCCCAGCTCAAACCATTGAGGTTTATAACCTATGGATTGAGCAGGGCTGGAATACAAGCATCACTCAAGCAGATTAGTATTAAATAAATGATTAGCATTATATAAAATGCTTCATAGCTGACTTCTGCTTCCCTATGGAAAGCAAAGATGCAGTGGGCAAGCCTCCTCAGGCTAAAAAAAAAAAATAAAAATAAAAATAAAAGAAACAAGATCTTGTCCACTTTTGCAACACTGGAGACCAACCCAGACCTATTAATCTATTCCCTGTTGAGAAGCTCCTCCAAAACCAACAGGAGGATTCAGGCTTTACTAATTCTCATGAGCATGGACAAAAAGTAGGAAGAGAGTGAGAACAGCAATGCAAAGGGTTAGGACTTCTAGCCCTGTCTACCACAGAGTCCTCAAACCACCTCAGGCAGCTCCCACAGTCCTTCTGGCCACACATACAGGTCTATAACATGGATGGGAGCAACATGGCCTAGGGCCATTGCCTTAATCTGGGGATCCTCCTCCTTCTTCTGCAGGTGCGGCTTGATGCTAACTCTGACTACAAACTTAGCAGTGTGGATGTCTGCAGTGACAGACGAGTCCGTTCACAAAGCACACTCAAAGTTGAAGAAAAATGTGACAGATGACCTCCTCAGATGGCTCCTGAAAGGTAATTTGCCATTTGTGAAGCCATCTGGTACAGGAATTGAACACTTGGGGGTAGAAATAGCTCTTCATGTCAGGTTTTATCAGGGCATTTTCAGAAGGCCCATCTAGAGCTGAAGGTTCCTTTAACAGAGCCGATATGTTAAAGGCTAGGTCTTAATGTTCATTTCTTCAGTGTGTACCATCGAGGAGAGTGGAAGGTGGAAGGGTCTGGACAAATGGGGTGAGAAGGAAGAAGGGAGGGAAAAAGAGATTTAACCTGCCACCTAACTTCTTTAGAAAAAGCACAAACACCAAAAAGCTGAGGTTGATGCATCCTTGTTTTCAAAGGTCATGTATTCTTCTCTCCTTGGTCTTGTTTTCCACTGATCCTAACCACCCCGTTCTTCATGGCTGCTAATAAGTGCTGGCCTCTATCTGTAATACATCTGTGTTTTTATCTTCTTTCAGTGGGAATGAGAAGCAGCTCCACTGACGTTTGCAATTGCAACAGCCAAATCTGCCAGATTTTCAAGAATGGCTACTTCTGGCTGTACCCCTTTAACATCGAGTACAGCCTGTTTGCCTCTGCCATGGTTTATGTCATGTGGAAGAACGTCGGCCGCTTTATAGAACACCACTCCCACCACATCCATCGCCTGAAATTTAGGCTCTTCCGAAGGACCTTCTTTGTAGGCATCGTGTTGGGCCTCATCATTCTGGTGAGCGGCCTGGGCGTCCTTATCGTTTATGAGGTGCAGGTAAACTCCATCACCGAATCCACCAACAAGAGCCAAGCACTCACCATGTACTACATCTTCAACATCGTGTGTCTGGGCCTGATGTCTCTCGTCTGCATCGGAGGCTCCGTCATCTACCGCTTCGACAAGAGAGACATGGACCGGCACAAGAACCCGACCAGGACCCTGGACGTGGCCCTGCTGATGGGCGCAGCCCTGGGGCAGTACGCTATTTCTTACTACTCCATCGTGGCCATCGTGGCCAGCACACCAAGAGACGCCATCAGCGCCCTCAACCTGACCTACGCCCTCCTGATGATCGCCCAGCACACCTTCCAGAACATCTTCATCATCGAAGGCCTTCATCGGCAGCCCCCCAAGGAGGACCACAAGCACGGTTCTCGCCAGAAGGACCTCTGTGGTCTCACCTTTGTTAACATCAGCGCCGTGTCCCTCCGCGTGCCCGACGGCAGCAGCACCTTGGCGCCTAGCACTGCCCCTGGCGCTGAGGCCAGCCTTCCTTCCGACCTCGTGCGGTCCCTCACGGCCCCCAAGAAGATGAACTGGAGGAGGAAGTGCTTAAGGGAGATCTCCATGTTCCTTCTGCTGAGCAACATCATAGTGAGTACATGCAGGGAGAAGAGTTTCTCAGGATGGGGGGAGAGGGGAGGGAGCACAAATGTCTGAAAGATACTTGGAAAGGATGGGGCCCATACAAAAACCACCCTTTCTGTGCTTCCACTACACGAGGAGTGGACTTATTTACATTTTTAAGTGCAGCCAGCTCTAATACCCTTGTCATTTATAAGAGCAACTGTCCTGGAGTTAAGATATTTTAGGCTTTGCTGAGAGAGGACATCAGTTATCAACAGAATATCAGACAAAATCAGCGGGTACAAAAGAATCAGTTTCATTAGTTTCATTGAGTATTAGTAGATAGTAAAGTAGCTTACTAAAAGCAATAAAATAGATTAAATTATTCTCTTACTCACCCAAAGAAAGAATGTTGGGTGGATTCAAAGAAGGATGACAGCTGCACCTTTGAAAATGCCAAGCTACACATTACATCTCAAGAGAGCCTCCAAATTCCCAGCTGGTTAATGCATCACATCCTCTAACTCACTTCACGCAACAGCTGATAAAGAACATGCTGGTGACTCCCACCCAACCATACACACACCGGCTGAGCTTCTGAGCTCAACTTACGCACGCCGAGCCTGAGCAGCCCAAACTGCTGCCAGATCAACCCTACCCATGCTTGCTCCTCCCAGAGCCTGAGCAGGCCAGGTCCACACTGACACACAACATGCTCGCCTTCTTCCAAGTCGATCTTCTGGGCATGAATTGAAGCTGTTCTTTTGGTACAACGCTAGCTCATACTTGGTCTTGATTGTGAACAGGGGTTCCTCGCGTTGGTCTCACACTCAGAAGGTTGTTCTTTCACCATCTCTCTCGGGAGCTGTCATTGCAGGTGCTTGCTCTGCCGTTCCCCTCTCTCACCACAGCGTTATTCTCCCATTTCCTCAAACAGCTCTGGATCATGCCAGCGTTTGGTGCCCGGCCCCACTTTGACAACGATACAGAACTGAACTTCTATGGCGATTCCATGTGGCCGGCTATTGTGGACATTTGCCTGCCCTTTGGGATCTTCTACCGAATGCATGCAGTGGCCAGTTTGCTGGAGGTCTACATCATGTCCTAAAGACTCTCTTGCAAGGAAGATGAGATCCTCCTCGAGCAATCCACCTTCCCACCCCAGGGCTGAGAGACTGCCCAGGGGTCCCGAGGGATTCCCAGCACTGCCTGAATCATGTCCCCTCGCAGTGTTGGGGCATTTCTGAACTGTCAGTGAAGATCATCCAAACATAGTCCAGATTTTATTTTTGCTACTTGTGTGTGGATGGATGTGCATATGTGTGCCTGAAGTTCTTAGAGCTTAAAAGAAAAAAGGGATCCAGCATAGGATCACGGTAATTACTCTTGATTCATGCAAAGACACATACCTGCCTTCTTAAGAGCCTGTTCACTTCACGCCACTGACTTACTCTCCTGTGGGGTGGGTGCTCAGCCCCGTAGGACAGTCAGTGTCTGCCTGCACGCAGAGACCAGTGGGCACGAGGGGCTAACCCAGGTGCAGAAGGCAAAGAAAGGGAAACCACTCACCTTCTGGTACGGCCAGTCAGAAATCACTGCCCTGCAGAGATGTGAAAAACAAGCGATCAAAAAAGGCTTTTGGAAATGCTGGATCCTTCCTCTTTGTATTGCCCATTTCAACTGGCCCTCTTGCCCCTTCTCTGTGTCAGCCCCTGCTGTTTCCCTTCCTCCTGGAGGAAGCTTTCTGTGCCAGGAGGGAGTGCTGTGCGTGGTCCTGGGCTGGCCCTGACAAGGTTGAAGCACACTTTTCCCCCATTTTTTCCTGAATCAGGGCTCAAGAGCCATAAAGATCCTATGGGCAATACAGAACGATGAAGAGATTTGTTTTTCTTTTCTTTCTTTTTTTTTTTTAATAGATGATTTTTTTTTTAATATAAATACATTTTTGTACACGAGATTATTTATTGATTTTCACTGTAACTCTGACCTCCTAGAGGGACCTTCTGCACCCTACAACGCAGCAATCAGTCCAATGCTACAGCTCTCCCTTGCTGTCCCATGCCCTTAAGGTATGATTGCACTGCATCTGCCAGCCTGTGCTGGCACTGAGGCTGTGAGCACAGCCCCGACACAAGTTTCTGGGTGCCTGCAGCCCTCCGTGAACCATGGTATGGTTGAGGAGGCTTTCAGAGCAGGACACCTGGGCTGCAGGAGATAGAAGTGGGCTATCCGCCTTGTCCAGAGGCCAAGCAGAGCTGCGGGAAGCCCACACCGCCTGGCGTCACTCCGGGGGGAAGACATGTGCCAAAACGGCACAGCCGAGCTTTGTCTGTACCCCGAGACATCCAAGGTTATTGCTCAAATAAAGAATAGCGCACAGGCAGCAGAAATCTTTCAGACTTTTTTTTTTTTTCCTACAGACGTGTGCATCTGCCAAAGGAAAAAAATAAAAATAAAAGGAAATCATGATATTTGAAACCGAGTGGTGTGATTTTCTGTCTAACAGCCCAGACTGCACGTGCTGTGCTTGCACTGCCAGCCCGGGCATCTGAAACCACCTTCCCCCTCCAGAAACAGACCCAGACCCCCAAAACAGAAGGCAGTGGTGTCCCTGGGCAGTCTGACACCAGCATCACCACTCCACATTCTCTCTGGGGCTGGCATTGGGCATCATGAGCCCATTTTCCCTGTCCCCAGGAGACTGCAGTGCCCCAGCACCCCTGGATGGGTCCCTCCTTCCCTCCATGAGCCTGGGAGCAGCCTGTCTGCCTCTCCTGCCCCATCAACCTGGCAGAGACTTTACCAGAACAATGCCGAAAAAGAGTTAAGATAAAATCTCTGTCCAGAAACTGGCTTTTGTTTTAGAAAAGGTTTGTTAATTTTAACTGCGGGAGTCACAGGTTATGTCAAGAAAGAGACGCAAATGGTGCGCAGACGTCAGTCCTACGTATGCCCTCATGCTTTGGTTTACCCCAAGGTGCTGAGCTCTGACAGGTCAACAACACCTTCAATCACCACCTCTGTTCCTTAGGGACACGCAGGGTTTTCTTCCTGCACACCCATTGCCTGGTCCCAGGTTCCCAAGCCTGGGTGCACCAAGCCAGGCAAGGCAGCGTGCAAACAGCGCTGATACTGAATCCCAGACCAATCACTCCAAGGTGACGGATCAGCAGGAAACAACATCCAGCCACAAGCCATCACACCCTGATAAAGCACAATTCTGGGAATGCCACAAAGTCCGTGATGCCCACTTGCTAACCTGAGGTATCTCCATGCTGCAAGTGCGGGCACGGCTGTGGTTTATAGCCAAGGGCTGCATTCTTCTTCCAGCCACATACTTGCATGTCGGGGGAGGCAGTGGGTAGGGTTCACAAATAGCTATTTCCCTATTATCTATATATCTAATAAAGGAGAGAAAGAGAATTAACAAGCCCAAAAAGAAAAGAAAAAAAAAAAAAAAACACAACACCACCCCCCCAAAAAAAAACAAACACCACCCCTCAAACAAACTAAAAAAAAAAACAAACCCAAACCTTAAGAAAAACCCCTCTGTGAGCACGTGCCCTGCTGTATGCTCAAGGACTGCTTACCCAAAAGATATCTGTTGTCAGCTAGTGTGCAAAGGGATTATCTCCGAGGCTGGTGGCAACCTGCCAAGCGTCCCAGGCTTGGGGACGAAAGCCGGGTGTGCCATGGGGCTGGCACTGCCACAGCCGAGCCCTGCAAGGCGACGTGCCCGACCCGAGCCTTGTGCCCTCCTCGCAGCCCCAGTGCTCAGAGCAACTCCTGTTCTTACTGGGGAGTTGGAAGGAGAGGAGAGCAGCCCGAACGCAGCCTACCTGGGAGACATGAAGGGGTCCCGTTAGCTGAGAGCTGCTCCGTCCTTGTGAGAGGGGCAAAGCTCCACCAACTCCATCTTCCACACCTGCAGGCCAGGAAACTGAGGCACGGGGCTTGGGCGCTGTGTCAGAGCAGAGAATGAGGCTGGGCCAGCAGCATCCTACTGAGGGGGCTGCCATCAGTTACGGAGCAGAGATCAGGCCCGCTTTTGGAAGGGGGGCATCAATGTGCTTCACGGTGACTGCCAAGCGGCAGACATTGCACACAAAGAGTTACTGGAGACAAAAGAGCAGCCCTGGGGCTCTCAGGCCTTGCAGGAGCTTCCAGGAGGTTCACTTGGGTACAGAAACACCTCGGGGTGCCAGGAGCTGAGCTGCAGGGCCTTGGTGGGAGCGCTGAACCCCACCGGTACAGTCACTCCTCGAGGGAGCCCAGGGGTAAGGTGCCACAGCCAAGGCTTTGCAGCGAGAGAAGCGAGAAGGGGGAGAGCTGAAGAGCAGGAAACCAGAAAGCGCTGCTCAGAACCAAGCGGGGAAGGTCACGGGCATGGCCTGACCTGAGTCACCATCCCAGCACTACCAAGGCTTTCCCACCCCCTCTGCTTCTTAATCATCTGTTATTTGAGGGCGAGTTTTGTTCTATTATCAAGGGGGGGGAAAAAAAAAAAGTCTTTTATCAGAGTGATTTGCCCTGAGGTACGTCAGTGACAGGGGAGCAATCTACGTTAATCATTACTGTCAGTGGCCAGCAGATGCGTCGAGAAGGTCACAGTGCAGGGGGCAAGTGGTGGCACAAGGCAGGATCGGCTCTGGGGGCTCGCTTGGAGCCAGGCCAGGAGCTGGTGCTGGAGGAACACTTTGCAGAGACCGAGGTACTGGGCTGGCCAGCAAGGGGCACCCCAATGCCTGCAGGAGGCCCAAGCAGCCTCTGCTGAGGGCCAGCGAGGAGGACGCAGAGCTGAGCATGGCAGGGACAGAGCCGGGTGCCAGGGCTGGGCTCACCCTGCCCACACAGGGCCAAGCTGCTCCCGTGCTGACCCCCAAAGGGTGCTCGCTGCCTGGCCCCGCAGGAGACGTCACCGGCCCGGTTATCAGCGGAGGGGAAAGAAGGAAGGGTGTGGGCTGGCTGGGGAGGCGCGAGGCGCTCAGCATTCCTCAGAAAGCCTTTGGGCAAACACGGTGGCGAGGCTCGGACCTCCTTCCTCCTTAGCTCCTGTTTACAGATCCGCTTGGCCCAGCCTGGGTGCTGTTACTGCTAAGCGCGCTGATAACGCCATTAACAAGCACCCTGCTGATAGCAAAGGGGCATTCGGCAGCTTTCCCTTGGCCTCCAAGTAAAGGCAGCTGCTGCAGGGCAGCCATGTGAACCACCTGGGTTTGTGTGCTTGATCCCATCAGCGCAACTCGCCCACTTTTGGCCCTTCTCCTGCACACTTGCATGTTTAACATCTCTCAGTTAAACTTGTGTCAATACATTTAAGCATTTTAACTATTAACAGCTGCCATTCTTCAACATAAAGGCCAAATCTAGAGGATTAACTAGTCTCCCAGGGATTTATACCTCCTCTGATTTTAATCGCAGCTCCACAGCCAATGAGGGCTATGAAGGCTGCTTCATCTCTGCAGCCCAGATGCACAGTCCTGTTGGCAAAACCACTGGGCAAGGCCAGTCCCAGCATTTTATTTCAGGCACATCTTTAAAGGAGAGTCCTGTGATTCCACCTAAATTTCCTTACCCAAGGGTATATTCAGACTCCCGCCCTCAATTTCCCAGCTCTGCATGGTCACACCAATTTACGGTCAAGCGCACTAAAAAGCAGCCAGGTTTGTTAACGCCTCACATGAAAATTGTTTGCTTTGTTCAATAAAGAGACCACCAAGGAGATCTTGGGAGATCCCAAGTTCCCTGCAAAGCTCTGGAATGGGGTAGAGCCAGGCACCCAAAGGTAGCCTGGCGGCACTCAGGGAACCCCAGAGCAACAAGACAAGAAGCAAGGACATGGTTCTGCACGCAGGCTGGAGAAGCTGATGCTTTGTGGGACGTCAGAACAAATCCAGCCACGGGTAGTCATAAAAACCTGCCCAGACCAAAGCATCCTGGCTCCACCACATCCAGACATTAAACATGACCCTTTTACCAGCAGACAGGAGATGCAACAGCTGCACGCTGGGCGTTCTCACCTGGGAGCAATAGGCCCCCTTCCCTCTTGTTTTCCGTCCATTCGTCACATCCCGACGGATGATAACCTGCGCTCCCCCACCCACTCCACCCCCTATCGGTTTCTTGTAAGCATTTCCTGGCTTTCAGCGCCAAGCTCACGTGTTTGCCAGCTGCAAGAACCCCACAGCTTCTGGGAGTTCATCCTGGGACACGCAAACAGCTCCTCTCCCTGCAGCACGACCCTCTGCACTCACAAGCTCATCCAGAAATGCCAAATCCCCATTTCAAACCACAAAAACAGAGGGATCAGCTCACCACAAAATCCCAAAATAAAATTAATTTGTCATGCAACAGGAGAGGGAACAGAGATAGCAAAGCTTGGGCCTAGAGCATCCCCAACATCACAAGGCTGAGCCCATGGGGCCTGCACACAGGAGTCTGGCTCTGCAGCCAATATCTACAGGTTGCAGCTATCAGCCCTGAAAGCAGCCACCTTTCTGCCAAAAGAACCTCAAAATTCAAGTACTCCCTGCACCTAGGCTGGACGGAGTTTTGCCTTTTGGGTATCTGTGCCATGGATAAAAGACACACAGTAGTAGCACGCTTAAGGAAAACCTTAGGAATTTACCTGAAAACAAGCGAGTGGGGAACTGATTTTAGCCAAAGCCAAGCACTCCCATCTCTGCACCCCAGAGCAAGCCCATGCCAGGAGATTAAGCCCCAGAGTTGCTCGAGCCATGGCACAAATTAGTCACCGCGGCTTGTGGTTTTACCAGTTGGCACATCCTGTGCCAAGGCTGCTCACATGGGGCAACCCAGCAGGTGTATAAAGGAGCTGCTCCCCATTGGCTGCCCCTGGCAGAGCCAAGAGCTTCTTGCTGAGTAATTAAAGTAATGACAATAATAAACCCAAAGTAAACAAGGTGGAAAAAAAAAATAAAAAAATCAATAGGCTCAGAGCAGAGGCCACACTCGGCGAGGCGCAGTCCTGCCGGCTTCTGCCTGCACCTCGGTCCGGCGGGGACAGAGACATCCCGAGGGCACCTGAGCGGGTACCGGCAACGTTGGCTCTAACCGGGGCTGCAGGAGGCTGCACGGAGGTAAGGGCTGGCATTTGGCTGCTCTCGGTGGTGCACGGGTCCAGGGTCAAGGGGTTGGGTCCGCAGCAAGCGGCTGCCACGCGCAGCCTCGTCTGGGCGCTGGGTGCCTCCTGCCGCAGCCTGGAGGTGTTTTCGTCTGGTTCTTGTGATGCCGCGGCCTCTCTGCTTCCTCCTGTGCCCGCAGAGCTGGGTAGCTGTGGTTCTAGGAGAGGGGAGGGCAGTTGACCCCGTGCTAGGAGAGTTTGGGAGGCAAATGGGGAAGAGTTTGGGATTAATCTCCACTAAGTGCACTGAATCCCCGTCAGCCAAAGGGAGACAGCATCTCAGTGCACACGCAGAGGGAAGCACTGAAATATCAAACATTTCTCAGATGATTTATCTCCCCAAAATTCAAGATGAATACGTAAAGCATCTCAGGGGCTGCTTTCACCCCAGCCACCCCGCTCTTCAGGCTCTGCTCCCTGGGTGCCGGCACATCCCCATGCGCTGCATCCATGGGCAGCCTGGTCCTGCCTGACCACAGCGCGTGGACCAAGGAGATCACGCTGCTGAGGGCAATGTGCTTCTCCTGAGATCTTTCCAAAAGCTGGATAAAACAAACTCACAGGGTCCAGCCATTTATCTGGGCCAATCCCTCAAAATCCTCCATGTCAGCGTGCTCAGGGCTCTGTGCTTTTCCCTCTGTGCTACAAGTAGAAAAAGAAAGAAAAACGGGTGTTAACTCTGCCCCATTCTCAGCCCTCTGGGGTAGGAGGCTGGGTCTTTTCCCAGCAGCTTAGATCAAAATTTACAGACCTCCCTTTTTTTTTTCCCCTCCTTTCCAGCTCTGTCACAATTTATGCACCCATACAAAGAGCATGGTGTAAATCTGAGAGCCCCAAAAACATAAAAGAGAGGTTGGACCCATCAACCCAGATCAAACAGCTCTGAATGCCAGAGCAGGTCTGAGCTTGTTCTGCATTCCCACCTAATCCCTACTGCAAAGGGAAAGGAGGAAACCTGAACCTGGGGCTGCACACAGAGGTGTGAAAGGCGAGGATGAGAACAATTTGGGCACTTCTGGTCCCAACAACTTCAAGTACCATTGGGGCAGGACAGAGACACCAAATGCCCATTGTAATGCCAGCGTCTCTGGACAGTTGCTGGCAGAAGGACTTTTTCCTTGTGCCCTGCAATGATTCTGGAAATGTTTAATGCTAGCCTGGCCTAAACACCAATCTATTTTTCCCTCTCATCCAGCTTCTGGAGAGGGAAAAGGAAGCTGCAAAGCAAGTAAGGGAGGTCCCCGCACAAGCTGCTTTGACACCAGTGCACAGCACCTCCCGAATCCACACGTCCCCTGCTGCTCCCACACTTTTTAACCCCTCTGTTCACCGTGGCAGGTGACCCGCAGGCAGAGGAGCCATGTCAGGTGACAAAGTCTCGAGGCAAAAGCCCTGCCACCACTGCAAGAGGAGGTCGATCTCAGCCCCAGCGGGCACGGCCATGATCCACTATGAGAAGTCCTGGCTGTACCGCCACTGCTCTTCTGTGCAGCAGCGTGACAGGCAAGCTCAGAAAGCCGGGCAGCTCTTCTCGGGGCTGCTGGCCATGAACGTGGTGTTTCTGGGCAGCGCCTTCATCAGCAGCATGATTTTCAACCACGTGGCCATCACGCTGGCCGACGTCTGGATCCTGCTCTCCATCCTCAAGGTCGTGTGCCTGTGCTGGATCATCTACTACCTGCTGGGCACCAGTCGGCAGCCCCACGCCGTGCTCTACCGGGATTCTCACGCGGGACCAGTCTGGATTAGGGGTAAATTCTGCTTTTATTTACCAGTTCGTGCCTTCCCCCTTCTTCTTGAAAGATACAGAATTCCCTGCTATTAAAAGATCTGGAAGCCACAGGAGATGTAGGTAGGGCATTGTAGGTAGGGAACGATGGGGGCACAGGGGATGCCCCAGGGAGGAAGCAGAGCAGCCAGGGGAGCCTTGAATTTGATTTTCCTTCAGCCTCCAGTGCAACCTCGTGCCGTGGTCCCTTCGCACCCACAGCCCAGCAACAAGCGTGGTGCAGCCCCGGGCTTCCCTCGCCCTTGTTTAACATCACAGCGCTCCCGTTTCCAGGGGAAGATTCCTGCCCAGTGAGTCACAGCCCAGTGACACCTGGCTTTCCTGGGAGATTTTCCATCAGTAGCTGCCCCACTTTCTGAAATGACACTTCTCTAAGCAGCCCTGCCTCTAGCCTATCAGGGAGTTTATAATTAGTGCGCGGTCCTGATAATTGAGCAGGGAGAATTGAAGGGAAGAAAGCTGCAAGCTACCTGAGGCTGCAGAGAGGCGTCAAAGGAGAAAGGGAAAACAGCAGGAAGGGTCCCAACTTCTGCAGGTTGCTGCTGCCAAAAGCCTCAGCGAGGTCTGTCTTTATCTTGGGGTTTCTTCACAAGGCAGAAACCATCACCCATCATTACCTTACTTCTGTCACTCCAGATTGCACAGAAAAGGCAAAAACAACAATGACAACAACAACACCTTGTATCCAAGCACAAGAAAACACCTTGCATCATCTCAACACCTTAAACCAGCCAAAGCACACCACCAGGTTCAGGAACCAGGCTTCCCTTTCTCCCCTTCTCTAAAATCACAGCACTTCCAAAGGGGAAGGACACCAGCTCTGCACAAATCCAGGAGTCTCCAGTCCCCAGCTGGGTGCAGATGCTCCTCAGACACATCTTTGTTTATTTACTGGTGTTTTTGTTGTTTGTCCAGGGTCACTGCTGCTGTTTGGTAGTTTCAGCGTCCTCCTGAACGTCTTCCAGATCGGCTACAGCGTAATTCAAATCCACTGCAAATCCAAGGTGGAAATCGTGTTCCCCAGCATCGAAATCCTTTTTGTTTCCACCCAGGTAACGCAGGTCGCCCTCCTGGGAGCTCGCTTGCTTTTGCTTTCTCTGTCCCACTGCTGGGAGGCAAAGGGGTGGGGGAAGTGGGGAGACTTGGGAAAGTGGGTGCATGTGAGGCAGGCGTTCTCTTGAGCATTGAAGTATCAAATGCCATTTCAAATGACACCCACCCACACTCCCGATGTGCCAGATTAAGAGACAAAGAGGTAAGATTTAGAAAGACATTGACACGCTGCAGAACCCGGATGGGTTTGCTTTGCAACATCAAAGTAGGGAGAAAGGAGAGGAAACTTCACAGAAATACCTTTGCACCAGCCTCTCTATTTTTTAACGGGGGATGTATTAGCAAACAAAAATAAAAAATCCTTTGCATGCAAAGTATCTCATGCCATTTGATACCAAGCCTCTTTTTGCCCGAACCCATATTTGAACAGTAAGCTAGCTCCCACCCCAGCAGCAAACACCTCGGTATACACAAGACAAAAAAAGGCAGATCTCCCAGCCCTCCTTTGGCATTAGGTACATGCACACACATGCTGGGGTCACCCAGGGATGCCAGCACGTGTGCCAGCACTGAAACACAAGTACACGAGAGTCCCTGTGCACAGAGGCAGGTTTCCTCCTCCCCAGACACGTGCCTTCTTGCCTGCCTGGCCCTTTCCACCGTGTGTGGCGTGCTGCCAGCTTCACCCTGCTCACATTATTGTTATTGATTTGCAGGCTTTTTTTCTGTGGCATCACTCGAAGGACTGCATTCAAGTCCAGCACAACCTCACCAGGTACAGAAAGGGCAGAAAAAAGCCTTCCACTCCCCTAGAGGATTATTCCTTTCCGTGTATTATCCCCTTTGTCTCTGCCAGATCTGCCTCCCTCTGACCTGACACAGACTCTGTCTATTCTGCATCACACGACCAGACCCATGCTCCTTACCATCTCCCTTTTGTTTTCACACATGCCTTCAACTGCTTCCTCTTGTTTCCAAATTCCTCCTCACTGGCCCCATTAATTCCTGGGGGTGGTCTCCCCAGTCCCACCACTAGTTGTTGTCTCAACCTTCCCCCCCACATCTGCACCCAGAGCCAGGCCAGGTTCACCAGTGAGCCTTCCCTACTCTTTGCAGTGGCCACGTGGGGACACGCACAGCTGTATTCACATGTGCAAAGCCATGTCCCAGTGCCCACACACAGAACAGGCCCAAAAGCACAACGTTTGCGTGCGTCCATGCACGCACAAGCAAAAAGCAAAGAGCAGCACTTCATGGCAGGGGGAGGAACACTCAGATCATAAACAACCTCCACGGGCAAGACTTTAAAAGCGCCTTTCTGTTCATCCAGGTGTGGGCTGATGCTGACCATAGCCACTAACCTCCTCCTCTGGCTCTTGGCAGTGACCAACGACTCCATCCACATGGAGATTGAATCTCAGCTGCGAGAGGTGGAGCAGCGATTGGCAGGTGAGGCTCCTTTATCACGCATCCCTGCTCCTCTTAGGCTGACGTAGATGACCTTTGGGGAGACAACAGGTCTGGATCCCAGCAATTCAGATATCACAACAGGTTCCCCAAAATTCTATGACTTCCCTGTTGCTGGACGTTGTCTAGAAGAGATGAGCTGCACAGGGAAGACTTTTTAACCTGTTGGGGAAGGACGCTCCAGGAAGCCAAACACCCAAGGGCTAGGAGAGGAAAAGCCCACCGTAAATTAGCACTTTTTGTTCACGTTTGCCTATCAGCTGAAAGCAAAAAAAAATAAAATAAAATGCCAAAGTAGAAGAGACTTACACCATTGCTTTACTCTACTTTCTGAGAATATGGGGGGGAGGGGGGAAAGGGCCAGGTGGAGTGGGACAGGATGGGTTGACTAATATTTCAAGAGTAGAGACAGAGGGGGGGCTTTGCTGTGAAGGAAGGGCTCTCTCTCATCCAGTCCGTACGACGTGCTAAATGCTGTTATTCTGGAATCCTCACAGCCTCGAAGACCTAACTTCCTCCTGATTGCTGTTCCTGCACACAAGAAACTTCCAGAGATGGCTGTGACATTCAGGCCATCTCCCTCTTAATTGTTGCCTTCCTCTTCTCACACTCCAGGCAATGAGACTAACTTGTGCGCCTGCCCAAACACAACCACCTGCAAAGTCTTCCAGAAGGGCTACATCCTGCTCTACCCCTTCAACACCGAGTACTGCCTCATCTGCTGCTCCGTCCTCTACGTCATGTGGAAGAACGTGGGGCGACGCATCAGCCACCACCATGCCCCTCACATCAAGCCCAAGTTCAAGCTGCAGGGGGTGGTCTTTGGGCCCCTGCTGGGCGCCGCTGCCGTAATCATCGGGATCTGCGTCTTCATGATGTACCAGATCCAGGCCACGGGCTCAGCCCCCAACCGCCAGGTCTTCGTGATGTATTATTCCTACTACATCGTGCTCCTGCCCCTGATGAGCGTGTGTGCAGTCGTCGGGACAATCATCCATGCCGTGGAAAAAAGGGAGCTGGACACGCTGAAGAACCCAACCCGCAGCCTGGACGTGATCCTACTGATGGGGGCAGCCCTCGGCCAGATCGCCATGTCCTACTTCTCCATCGTCGCCATTGTGGCCACCAACCCCAAGGACCTGTTGAACAGCCTCATCCTGTCCTATTCTGTCCTCCTCATCTTCCAGTACATCACCCAAAACATCTTCATCATTGATGGGCTCCAGCGGGAACCATTCGTAGCAGCAATTGAGGCAAGGCACGCAGGACACGCCGGGCAGCATCCAGTGGATTCAGAGCTGCCTGGTGAAGAGATGACCACACCGAGGAGCACACAGGAGCACACACAGGCCTCACCCAACAAAGAGGAAGAAGTGAGTGAAGAGCAAAACCACGAAGCACACGACCAGAGACGAGTGAGCGTGCTGGAGCTCGGACAGGAGTTCCGGAGAGTCTCTCTATCCTACATGCATTCCTACTCTCACCTGAGTTGGAAGAGGAAAGCATTAAAAGAGATCTCGTTCTTCTTGGTTTTGTGCAACATCATAGTAAGTATTGCTCTCTGCCACATCACAGCCTCGCTGGGTTGTGATGACCTGTGATACCAGGACCGATGTGCTCTCTTTGTCTTCCTTTTGGGCCACCCTTCCAGACAAGGAAGCTTTGCCCACGAGGTTTCGGTCTCCTGGTGGGGCAAGTCAAGTCTGTTCTCCCATTAATGTCCCACTCCTGTAATTCTGAGCTCCCTCCTTCCCACTCCCATAATTTTAAGGTCCCTCTTTTACCTAAGAGTCAAACATTTCCAGAGTGCAGGAAGGAGGCAGCTAATAAATCCTTAAACATCAGGATTTTAGCTCCTGTAAACATCATCAAAACCATTGTGTTTCATGAGATAGCTGGGGAACGAGCAACCAGCAGCGAGGCTTTGTGATCAACAGTCTGCAGGACTGGAACTCACCTGGTGTGCTCTGGCATCCTGAAGCAACATGAAGCTTCATTACGACCTTAAACAAGTGAAAATGAATTGGTCAAGGAAACAGAAATTCTGTAGAAAGATAAAGCTGCCTGGGGCAGAGTGAGGTTATCATTAAGCTTCCGGAAATTTAACAGCATTTGGCATGTAGCAAGGAGCCAGCAGCATAACTAGGGAACTTCCCTCCTCTTCCCAAGCAAGGGGACCCCTCTGACACTCTTGAAATATTCCTACAATTACTTGAGCCAGTGCTGAGATTAGAGTGCAGGTAGGAGACAGCTTGCCATCCTCTGAACTTGTGCTCTTTTTTTTTTTCCTCATGCCTCTGTAGCTGTGGATAATGCCCACGTTTGGGGCTCACCCTGTGTTTGAGAACGGACTGGAGAAGTCATTTTACGGCTACTCCACTTGGTTTGCCATCGTGAACTTCGGCCTCCCGCTGGGCGTCTTCTACAGAATGCATTCCGTCGGGGGACTTCTGGATGTTTACGTCTCAGCCTGAAACATCTCTCCTCACTCAAGGCTGCAGGGAAACGACGAGGCTGAACAAGATGCAGTAAGCAGTGGAGATGCACGTGGAAGCTTTAAGCTTTTTCTCTTCAGCTTCTGCTTTGACTTCTTACCCAACATCTCCATGAGCTTTTGGAGAAAATGATGTTGGTTTATATTGTTATTTTTTCTCCATAGAGAGCAGAATGAAAATCCATTAGCAAACTGCCTTACTGCCCTGCAGAAGCACACTGGCACTTTGCAGTAGCCTGCCAATGGATCCTGTGTGGTAAAGTGGGACTTTACCAGGTGCTGTTGAACTCTTCCAGATAACAGAATGCCAGAGCAGCCTGCAGCGAGAGCAAAGGCTGACCTACACTCCACAGAGCTTCAAAACCCACAGCCAAGGACCTCCAGCCCCACCGCTGCTTGCCAGCCACAGCCCTGCGGCACAGAAAAGCTCTACCAGTGCCAGGCCCACTAGAAGCACACACACACTCCCAGTCATTCAGAAATAAACCAAAACCACAATTTGTGTAATTTCCAAATGGACCGTTATGCTGGGAGCTGCTGTAGTGGTCCCTAACACTTATCCTCAACTGCTGCTTTGCACATCCAAAAACATTTCCCAAGGTCCATGTGAAGGAACACAGTTCCACAGCATGGTGCCTGATCAAAGACCTGTTTGTATGTGCTCCGTAGGAGCTGCTTGCTTGGAAAATCCATGGGGGTGCACAGGGGCTTATGACTATGGGTCTTAAAAACAGACTGATGAATGGAAATAAAGAGAGATTGAATGCTCATGTGTACCTGGTGAAATCTCTGGGACTGCTCTTCACTCACCAAAGACCAGACTCAAAAAGTTATCTGGGCATTCAGAGGTTATATGAGATTTAAGGGCAGGCCTTGGTCTACATCATTTTTCTGTTGTCAAGAGCTTGCATAACCTTTAGCCAAGGCCAAAGTAGCATGGTACAAAGTGAGTCTACATTATTGCTTTGGTTCATCTATAAATCAATCCTAGAAGCAGTGTGGATTTAGGATCAGAACATATAAAGGTTTTGGGTTTTTTGTTTGTTTTGTCATGCTCTAGATAAGTACACTCCCCCAAGACAGGACCAGTGATGAGAGCTAGAAACGCTGATTACATGTATCTCATTTGCCTTCTAATTTGCCATTCAGGTAATTAAAGGACCTCCCTCTGAAACTAAAAGTGAGAACGATTGCGTGAGCATGAACTTTGTCCAATGAGTGCTTTTACTCAGGCCTGTGTCAACAGAAATATGCCATGAGAAATAACAGCTGGATAAATTAGGCTCCAATAAAGTTAATTATTATTCTCACTCCGTTTTGTACCAAGAGATCTATGGGAGATGCATGCTAAGGTCTGGCCCTTTCAAATTATAAAAAAAATCTCAAAGCTGCTCCCTAGTTTTTGACAGCGTGGGGACAAGGAATCATGTACTTCATGAGCAAACCCATGACCCGGACGTTTTTTTGGGGCACAATAGCTAAAACACTGTTTTAGTTACTAAGCCTCCACTGAGCGGTGACTCTGGAGGTCTCCCTCTGAGATATAAATGCTAAGTCCCGTAGGTACTACACACAGCTGTGGAATGAAAGAAGTTGATGTGATTTCTTGCTGGTGAACAGGCTGGATTACCTGAGTACATGATCAGCACGAACAGGAATGAAGCCCACTTTCTCCAGCTCTTAAAAATAAGACCCTCTTTGTCCTTTCCTAGCACCACTCAGCTCTAACACTGCAGATAAAGGTAAGAAATCCCACAAGGAGCAACAGCAAAAGCACTCCTGTTTTATGGGTCTCAACCACACAAAGATTTTAGTGCACAGTTCACAAACTCAGGCACCTCGCTCCTGTTTGCTCTAATTCCTTTTCTGTACCTTTAGAGGCAGTTACCTTTGATGATGTCTCATGCTGTAAGCACAAAAATGGCCAGAAGTACACAGTTCAGGTTCCTTTTCCATAGTGTCATCTTCTTTTGTGATTTAAAAAATCCACACACTGCAGAAGAAGCCAGCACATGGTCCCCTAGCAGCACAAATTACCCCAGCATAAAACAAACAATATTATAAACCTCTCTGTGGGAAAAAATAAACAACCAATTGCATGTTTCAGATAATCTTTATCTTTCTCTCTGTAAATAAGCAAATAGTTTACAGTGCAAGTTGATTTCCACAGAACAAAGATTAGACTCCAAACACCAAGAAAAACAACAAAAAAGTGTTTCCAGAGGGACTCACAAAGAAACAAAGCAGAAAAGAGGATGGAAGAGATCATGAGAACCAGCAGATCCACAGGAGGGAAGAGGCAAGCGCATGGGAAACAACGTCCCGTTCTGGCTGTGAGGTGCAAGTGCCATACAGTCAGAGGCTGGCCCCACCAAATCACATTCGTATATATGAGAGATTCCAAGTAAAACAGAGACCTCACCCTGCTGGTATCTGAACAGAGATGGGGTCGGGATGGGTGTAGTGCTAAATGGCGAAGTGGACTGGAGATGGGGCAGAGATGGGGTGGGGAAATTAACCTCTATTTCCCATATTTCTTATCCTTCAGAAAAAAAACATTCAGGCTTTATTTCAGCTGTCAGCTGGCCTAGGACTTCAGTCTACTTTCAGGGCCAAAAGTGGAGGAAGCCACCTGACTACAAGCCAGCAGTACACTAACCTTAGGGAAGGGTTACAAGTGCCTTACCTCCCCCCTTATTTCAAGGTGTGAGACCAGTTTCCAAGGAATGATCTCACCGGTTCTGAGCAAAGGCAGACAGCTCACAGCCAGTGATCCTCCTAAGAAGCTGAAGACCACAGCACCAATGGCTAGGTTTTGGAGAGGGCAAGTTGTCAGTTCGTGACAGGACCCCTCACGTTTCTTTGCCTAAAGACCACACAGGTCATAGACAGCAGCCCCTCCCAGCAGAGTTTAAAATCTGACTCAAAGCCCAGGATGTCTCCACCTCCCAGTGCACAACTACGTGCTGCTGAACCAAGCCAACAGCAGTCAGTCTCCCACTAATTCTAACTCTGGCTTCCCAGACTTTGCAGAACTCGGGACCCAATACATTCAGGATCTGACAACTTGGTCACTATCAAAATGCCCTGAAGAATCAGACTTTGCCTTCGCGCTCTCCACTCCCTAGTGACATGGAGATGCTTTTCCTCCTACAGCTTCCAATTTCCTGCCACAACTTCCCTGAGCGCCTCCCTCGATTCCCTGCCTTAGACAGTGATGTGCAAAAGGCCCTTCCACTCCCTGCATTGCACCAATTTGCCAGGCAGAGATGGAAGGATGTGGTTCCTTTTAAACCCACGTGACACTGTCCTTTCTGGAGAAGTCTAAAGGAGGCTACCAATCTCTTCTCCTTGTTCTCACTGATCCAGTCCATTCCTTCCTGTGTGTATACAAAGACCAAACAGGGCTTTCCAAAGTGATGCACACACTATTGCAACACCTGACCGTGAAGGACAGGCTGCTGGGCCTGGAAGCCCAAGAAAAACTTCTCTCGCCTCACCAAAGCACCAGCTGCTACAAAATTTCCTAAGTGGCTTTCCAGGAAAGAAGTAGAGAGATTCAAAACTGAGACACAAATTTTTCCTTCAGTAAATTCTCCCTTTCATTTGGATGGGAAAGATTTCCCTACCGATACACAACTGAGACACCAGGGAGACACCTGCAGCCAGAAGGGATGCCCCCGGAAACATTACGGAGCCACATGAAAGTAACTGCCGTTTCCAAACCCCGTCTCCTGCAGGAATAGCAGCCTCTCCCTTGCACCCAATTTACAGCTCGTCTTTTCAATTAAATGCTGACTCTGACCAGGGCAAGGACAAGGTCAGATTGGTTTCCAAACCAAATCCAGGAGCAAAAGAGTAATAGAAAAGCTAAGAACAGTCTGATTTCTAGTGCAACCACAACAATGGACAATCCCTTAGACATCTTTCACTCAAGGTTCATAGTGAAGGGTGAGGGGAGAGAAGTGAGCTGGGGGGAGGGATGTCCAAGCAGGTCCCAATTAAAGCTTTAAATGACAGGGAGGTAAATGGAGTGATTGTCCTTTTGGTCTCTCAGCTGGATGTGAAATGTAGGAATAGCTGTGACGAAGCAGCACACAGCAAAGTCCTTCGAGATCCAGTGTATTTCTCTTCGTAGAGGTAAGTGCTCTCTTAGACCCGCTGAATTTCAAATAGCTTCACATCCGTGTCATACCAGATTGGGGGATCCACATTCCTGGAAGAGAAAGACAAGATCCACTTTATTCTTTGTGGCTCGGTACATGGAATTCAAATCTCATAGCCAGGATTACAGGAGCTGGCTAAACATAATGCCTGCAGCTTGCAAAAAAGGACAACAATGGTTGTGAGACAACGGCCCTTAAAGGGCTGACAGCATCTACAACATCCCACAAAGCCAGAGCTTTGCATGAAATCTCTGTACCACCCCTTCTAAGCAGCAGCAGGGAATAGAAAAGCTACAAGATCCCTAACAAGCAGTACTCCCAGACCAACTCCCTTCACATCTCCCACTCCAAGTTTCAGACCAGCTGATTCACCCTAGTCTTTTCCAAGGCAAAAGTATCTTTGTATCCCTTAAATGAGAGGCAATTTCAAGCTGGCCAAGTGCATCTACTCTCTTTACAGACCAACAAAATGTTTGGAAAAGATCAAGTTGCATCTAGATGGTTTACCTCAAATAAATAACACCCCACATATAGGTGCGGAACCACATGGCAGTGCCCGAGTTAGCCTGATACTTGCGAATGAGGATGGGGTGAGGGACGGGCAGCAGCCCCACCAGCGTGCCATGCTGCAAGAACTTGAGGATCTCCGATTCATCTGTGAGACCCCTACAAAGAGACAGAACAGGAACGTAAGTGCCACGTCCCACAGACATCTCCAGAACTGCTGCAACATGAAGTATCGCTGTAAAGGAGCCACAGTCACCCGCTCCCTGTGTGTGCTATCAAGGACAAACACTCTCTCTACTGAAAAAAATAATAATAATTGGGAATGGATCAGATGAACAAGAAGCCTGACAAGCTAGATAACATCTCCTCTGCTGAGGCTGTAAGGCTTTCAATTATACTTTACAAGAAAATAGATATGAGTAAATCAGATTTGCTGACCTGATTTCCCCTACAGGCCCTCCAAACCTCACAGAGCTCTTTACACCCTGCACAGCCCTTTTTGTCTTTGTCAGTTTCTCTCTCAAAACAAAGCACCTACTTGTCAATGCAGATCTTCTCCACCTGAGGGACCAGCACCTGTAGGAGCCGCATGATTGTCTGCAGGGGAAGCTTTGACTTCCAAGACATCACCTGTGAGTAAGAAAGCCCATAGGGAAGTCAATGCACCGTATTAGCAGTTTTTCTACAGTTATCTCCACTATCACTACAACAAATGATGTTTACAAAAATCCCAAGGGTGATGGCTGAGCTGAGTGCACGACAACAATACAATCGATCCCGGAGCAGTAAAATTCTGAGCCACTCAATGAAAATAGTAGGGCATTGGTTTGAAACAAGTAAAACAAAATATTTCTTCTCAGCTGCTAATAAACTTCTGGAGCTTTGACCATAAGTCAAAACTTGTTCCCTTAGGAAATCCTTTCCTCTGGGGAAGTCGGGAAAAAGGGAAGTCGGGAAGTCGGAAAAAAGGGAAAAAGGGGAGGGAGAGCATCAGGAAAAAGCATTTCTGCCACAACTCTTTTCCTCATTTATTTCCCCTGTCCAGATTCCCTTACCCAGTCGGGAGTTGGGGTCCACTGTCCACTGGAGGATGCACTAGAGAGACGCCTTCGGTCCCGTCGGGGATGTGACACTTCCTATAAATAAATTAAAACTTGTTTTATTTTGCTTTAAATAATTATATTAAAAATAAAAATCACACATTAGAGCAAGAAATACAATTCTCTGTCTGCTAATTTCTCCCCAGCTTTTCCAGAGCTGGGCAAGACAGTTCAGCCTGTCCCTAGAACAGCTCAAACCCAGCAGCCCTTCATTCACCAAAACCATTTGTTTCAACCCAGCGAGTGGCAATATTTGATGGGGTTAAGGTGCAGGACCATGGCAAGGTTACAGATCCAGTCACCATTCCTGACACTCTGCTGGAACAATCCACAGTGGGTGAATTAAATGGTACAGGTGAAAGGCAGCTCAGGCATGGCTCTTTCTTCCAGTACAGAGATTAAGCAGATAAAGGCCAAAGCTTTTCAGACCTAATATAATACAATGAGTATCTCTGGGATTTTCGGTGTCCATCCTGATACGTCTCAAAGAACATTTTTCCAGGGGTGAGCTCTTGGAACTCCTAACCAGCCCCTCTT